TTCTGCCGGCAGCGATCTGCACCCCAACTTGCTAATTTGATCTCAGCCCCAAGTCTTCGTGTAGCCGGCGACAAAGTGAGGGCTCCAAGAGTCCTGGATGTCGGTGGACCTCCGGGAAGTCCAGGACTGAATTCCTGACTGCCGTGAAGTCTGTCTGCTCAGGTGTGTTCTCAGACCCGGCTGGGGACTGTGTCCAGCTAGGCCTGCTGGCAGTGCTCCCCACCCCCCGCCAGCCTGAGGACTTCTGTACTAAATAAAGGGTTCCATGTGACCTCTCATTCTGCAGACTCTGGTCTCAGAGCAATAGTTAAAGCAGGAGAGAGGGTGGGCGATGACTCACTGACTCACGGAGCAGGAAATGAACACCAAGGGAGCCTAACCTGGCAGCAGGACTGGGACAAATAGATTTGTGGCCGTTTGAGCTGCTGGCGAAGGGGGCTCCTGCGGGCGAGCTTATTCATGCTTCCTTCCGCTGACCGCCGGTGCAGACCCGAAACGGCCAACACTGTCGAGAGTCGAATTCAAACTGGAAAAAAAAAATCTTGGAGTTTCAGGAATTCTGGTGATTTGGTGGCACCTGGGTACGCGGCACCTAGGTTTACTCCCCATCGGCCACTGGATCCTATGTGACCCGGTGTCTGCCTTCTTCCTCTGGGCTCCTCTGGATACACAGGGAGACCAGAACTCCTTCCAGCCCTGAAGTGGTGCTGTAACGGGCGCCTTTGTGATGGACGTGGCGTTAGGTCATTTCTCCAGCTTTTACCCCAGAGTGGCCCATGGGTGGGGAGGCAGGTGCCGCGTGGGCAGTGGTGGAATTCATCAGATCGGGGCACATCCTTGGTTTTCCCTGGTGGGGCCTGTAAGGCTGGAGTGCGGTGGGGAGGGGAGGAGAGGGTAGAAAGAGTGGCCCAGGGTCAAGGGCAGCAGCATGGTGGATGTTAAGAAAATTGAGCTGGCTGGGGCCCCTGGGTGGCTCAGTTCATTGAGCCTCTGATTTTGGCTCAGGTCCTAATCTCCTGGATCGTGGTTTGTGAGCTCAAGCCCCCATCCAGCTGGCTGCTGTCAGCCTGTGAGCACAAAGCCTGCTTTGGATCCTCTGTCCTCCTCTCTCTGCCCCTCCCCCGCTTGCACTCTCTCAAAAATAAACAACAAAAAAAGAAGATAGAGCTGGAAGAAGAAATGAGATCAGGGTGGGGGAGGCAGGAAACACACCCCCAGTCCAGAAGCTGTGTGCCTCAGGACTGGGAGGAAGGGGCTTGGACTCAGCCTGGCATCTCGGGTCTCCCAGGTTGTGGGACTTAAGCAGACTCGTGGGCGTGTATTGGCAGAGCTGGGGCCAGGCCAGGCCCTGAACCTGCCCTGAACCTGCCCTGGGCCCCTGGGGTTAGAGTCCAACTTCCCATGATCAGGGTCCAGACAACCAGGAAGCTCCTGCTACCTCTTTATCCTTTTTATTCTTAAAAACACAGCAATAAGAATATTCTTAAAGGAATCCTAATACCCGTTGGCTCTGAAGCAAGGGTTTCTATGTGCCCCCTCCCCCTCCACCAGACCCCCCCAAAGCTGAGGCTGCCTTCCCCGAAAGGCCTCCAGGCGCAACAGGTTCTTGTTTCTCTAAATTGTCCAGCTTCCTCTTCGTTATGTAAAGCAACCAAATTCACTCCAAGCTTTCTCTATTTGCATCTCCACCTGGGAGCCGGGCAGCCACGAACACATCATTGTCTTATTCGCGAAGGAAATGTGCTGGGGCTGAGGAGGGGGGAGGGGGTGTAAGTAGATCTGCTTTTCTCTCTTTTCTCTGGGTGGGATCTTTGTAGCTTGTGGGATCTTTGTAGCTTTTGCAGAGAAGGTTGGGGGCGGGGTGGGGGTGTCTCTTCCCACTCAGAGCCCAGCCCTGTGCTTCTCCTTCTGCTGTTGCTTTCCCGCTCTGACAGCTCTGCCAAGCCTGGCACGGGGGTGCCCACCAGCGCTTCTTTCCAGGAAGCGCTGGGATTTTGGCCCTGTCTTGGGGGAAAAATGCATAGGACCAGTCCTATTTCCCTATTCCCAGTGTGATAGCCTCTGGCAAGTATGCGTGGATGGAGGTGTGTGTAACAAGGGTCCCCCTCCTGGGCACGTCCACCATGCCCCCACCCCCGTAACCAAACACACACAGATGTCTGGGCAGCTCTGAGAGTTTCTCTGTCGCTGACCCTGTATTCTGGGGTCTGTGAGCTGCCAGGGCCTAGGGCCAGCCTGACCACACAGAGGCAAATTATAGGATGTGCTCATGATCTGGGTAGAACTGTCTGCTTACACCAAAGGATGTGGTCAGGGCTCCTCCTTGGGGAGACTCATCCCAAGGACCACTGAGTGGATGTGCCTTTCGGTCCAGATGACCCTGGCGCTATCTGACCCCCACTGGTCCTGTTTCCTAGGCATTGCTGCCTCCAAAGAATTGCGAGTGGGATTGGGAGGGGCAGAGAGAGAGGGGGAGACACAGAATCCGAAGTAGGCTCCAGGCTCTGAGCTGTCAGTGCAGAGCCCGATGTGGGGCTCGAACTCCTGGGCCGTGAGGTTGTGACTTGAGTTGAAGTCAGAGGCTTACCTGACTGAGGCTCCAAACCCCTCCTCCCTCAATTTTAAAAATGACTGAGAAAAACTTTGTTGCTTTTAAATATTGTATCAGTTGTTATAAAAGAGCTTTGTCCAAATCCTAGAATATTTTTGGCCTCTTTCATCTTTTTACTGCCATGCAAATCAAAGCTTCCCGGATTCCCAGAATATTAAGCACAATGCATGTTTGTTTGCTTAATTAAACATCCCTTGGGCACCAGGGAACCCAGATTCATGTTGCCACGACCACAGCCATGCCTTCCCACCAGATGCCCGGGGTAGGATCAGGCAACCGGAGCAATATGGCAAAGGAGAGCAAGACCACACTAATGTTGAGCTGGAGTGGGCCCCCAAGCCTAGTGGGTGAGCCCATGCAGCTTCCCTTTATGGGAGACTATAGCAGATAAGGGAGGTGGGGGGCCGTTCTGGGGGCCCCTCCAAAGCCCAAACTCAAGTCTCAGATCTTCCCACCAGCGAGGTGCTCGGCAGGGAGAGGAGAGAATGATGGCTGCCCCTCCCCTGCCTTTGGATGGATGGTGAAGACCAGGAATGGGCCGGTGGTGGGGGGTGGGGTAGCTCCCAGCTCCTCATTCAGAGTCGTGATGGGGAGGGAAGAGAGAACCACATCTGTGGGCTGATTACATTCCCCAGGTCTCTTTGGGATCAGAGGACAAAGTCTGGGGACAGGTAGGGACCGGCGAGGAAGCAGGCTGCTCTCTCCATCAGTTCCATCAATGAGCAGTAAGAGTCTCTCCCGTTTCCCCTCCCTTTCTCTTTTAAAATTTGGATTTTAATGGTTTCGAATGGGTTGTATAGCCTCAGGATTAAAAAATAAAACTAGTCAGCAGGGGCGCCTGGGTAGCTTAGTCGGTTAAGTGTCCGACTTTGGCTCAGGTCATGATCTCACCGTCAGTGAGTTCGAGCCCCGTGTTGGGCTCTGTGCTGACAGCTCGGAGCCTGGAGCTGCTTCGGATTCTGTGTCTCCCTCTCTGCCCCTCCCCTGCTTGCAAGCGCTGTCTCTGTCTCTCTCAAAAATAGACGTCAGCAACAACACAACAACAAATCAGCACGGAAGAGAAGGCAGCCTGGCGGCTGCTGTGTGCATACTTCCTGCTCTCCCTGGGGTTTGCAGGGCCTGGAGGAACCCAGAGAGGGACCTGCCCCTCCATTGCCCCGCCCTCCCCATCCTTCCCTCTCCTCGCCCCCTCTCTCCCCTCCCCACAGGCTTTCCACTCAACAGCAACAACAAAACCCCACAAAAGCCCAACAACAATATGGAAATGTGTGCATCAAAGGCTCCGGCTTCACCCACTGGCCTCATCCATTCTATTTCTCCCCATTGCCTTCAGGTGCTACTGTTTGAATGTGTGTCCCTCATCCCCACCCCTCACCCCCCAACTCATATACTGAAATTCTAACACTGTGATTGCATCAGGACTTGGGACCATGGGGAGGTGCTTAGGTCAGGAGGGTGGAGCCTTCGTGAATGGGATCAGGGTTTTCCTAAAGGCGACTCCAGGGGGCTCCCTTCCCTTCCTCTGAGTGAGGATGCGTCCAGAAATCAAATCTGCGGCCCAGAGGACTCTCCCCTGCCTGTGTTGGCTCCCTGATCTTGGACTTCAGCCTCCAGAACTGCGAGCCATAAACTTGGGCTGTTTACGAGGCACCCACTCCGTGGCATTTTGTTACACACTAATGGTGTGTGACAGGCAACCAATTTCATTAGTATCTTCTTGCCTGTCTTTCTAGGGCATATATGTGTCCTGAAGACCTTTCCCCACCGGAGCAGAGAATGTCTTCGCCCATCCATGTTTTTCACAATCACCTGGAATTGCATCGTGTGGCTGTAGCACTGTTTATTAGACTTGCGGGATCTCTCTTGTGGATGGGTATTTGGGCTGCTTCCGGACTTCGCTATCACGAACGCTAAGGTAGTGAATCACGCATGCGCGTGTTCCTCCCCTCCACCCCCACCCCTCCCGTGTTTGTAGGTAAATCTCTGCGTTAAAGCCCTAGGAGTTGGGTCAGAGTGTCACAGGGTAAAGTGCTTTCTAGTGTCCTCCTTGGCTGTACCACTTTGCATGCCACCAGCGACACCCCCTGCAGACTTTCAAGACGCTGCTGTCCGTCTATTCTTTAAACCCAATCTGTTAGGTACACCTAGTATTTCAGTGAATGTCAGTTGCCCTAGTAAAGGAGGTCTTTTCTAGGGTGCAGTGGACCGAGGTGAAGGGAGGTCAAGGCCACTTGCTTTGTCATCTGAGTGTGTCTCCGGGGCATGGCTGGCTGTATGGCCTCACCCTCTGTGCGTCCACAAGAAGCAGCACACGGAGCTGAGCCCTGGGGGTTTATTGCCTGTCCCTGGGGGGGCATTTGGGCTTCTAGGTGGGGTGAGCTGGGGTCCTTCACACAGGCCTGTAGGTTCCGTTATAACTAAAAGGGTCAGGCATCAAGCAGTCGCCTTCCTCCTCAGGGATCCAGCGCTGGACGTAGTTGGGGCCACTGTCCCGAGGCCACACGATCACGGTGTCTCTGGACGCCAGGGACGGGTCCTCATCGAAGAAGTTGAAAGGCCGGAGCAGGAAGCCCACGGAGTTCCCCGGTGTGGCAGTGTTAGGGATGTCCTCTGAGTGCGGAATGTGCAGGAAGCCCACTGTGACCCAGGCTACCAAGTCCTGTGGGAAAGAGGAGGGGGTGTGGGCAGTGCAGGGAGGCTCAGAGAGGGGAGGGGTGGGCAGTGCAGGGGAGGCTCAGAGAGGGGAGGGGTGGGCAGTGCAGGGAGGCTCAGAGAGGGGAGGGGTGGGCAGTGCAGGGAGGCTCAGAGAGGGGAGGGGTGGGCAGCCCCCTCAGGCCACTAAAGGGAAGAGCACTGAGCTTGCCCTCCACACGGCGAGTGGCCGCTGTCCATCCTGGGACCAGGCACTGATCTGGTCTCGGGTTAGGGCTCGAGGAAGGTAGGGCCAGTACCTCATTTTCGATGTTCTCATTGTTTTGAAGAAACTCCTCAAAGACCACAGGTGGGTCCCAGGGGTCGTTCTGGTTATAGATGCTGCTGCTGCACACTTCCGTTTCCCGGTACTTGGTCACCGCCAGGGGGTACCTGCCCAGAGGAGATGCCAGGTGGCTCTGGGCACCAGGGAGCCTCCCAGCCTTTCGGGGAACATCTTCAGGGTCAACGATGGGGGAAAGTTACTGCCTTCCCCCAAATGTGAGATCATCTCCTGGGCGTCAGCCAGACTGACTGACTATCTACTGAGCCTCCCGCCCTCTGCAGGGCCCTCCACACCTCCCCCTCCCCAAACACACACGTGCTCACAGGCCCAGAGATACCAGCACGCGGACTCAGAATCTCGCAGATGCACACAGACATTTGAACACTGAGAGGAGCCTGGGGCCCTTCTCTGCCTCCCAGGCCTCCCTTACCTGGCCCAGGTGACAGCCTGCTCCTCCTGCCAGCCCGGGGGCAGCACCTGGTCGGCCATGGAGTGGATCTGAAGTCGGTAGCTGCGCTTATGGCCCCAGCGGTTCTCCTTGGGGCTGGCAAAGAGCAGGTACTTGGGCAGAGGCTGTCGGAAGCGAAAGGCCGCCTGGCGCTCCCGGTGGTAACTCGTCTGCTCCAGGGTCGGCTGCACCAGGTGGTGTCTGGGGCTCCAGGGATTAGTGATGTTTTCTAGCTTCATCTGCAGGGTCTGGAAGCTATTCTTCGTGCCTACAGGTGTGCAGGAAGAAGGAGAATGAGAATCAAGCCCCCCTGACTGGAAATACCCTCTTTCTGTTCTGGCATCTCCAGCCCAGACCCCCTGCAAGACAACCCACAAGGAGAGGAGCACAGGGGATGTTGGGGGTGTACACTGAGCGCTGTAGGGGTAGAAGGAAGGGATTAAAACCAAGAAACAATGGAGGAGCAAGAAGATGACTCCGAGTTAGGCCTGTTCTGATAGTGATTTGATGTCGGGTCAAGTGTGTCATCATGGCCCTGCCATATTCTATGGGGACATCATCAGTCCAGGAGACGGGGAGTCAGGGTGCTGGGCAGTGACGTTTCTTACACTCCTAGGCATTGTCTCAATCCTAACCGTCTACAAGCACACCTTTCTGCCTAATCCATCCCTCTAGGGGCCACCGCAGCCCCCACCCCACCCTGGGGAAAGGCAGGGTCCCACTGCACCACCCAGGGCCACATTCACTGCTTTTCAGGGGCACACAGATTTCTAGCACTGCAGTGTTCAGAGAAGCAGGCCAGGCAAAAGCTCTTGATTTTATGATGCAAATGTTTGGCTGAGAGGGTCTTTCCAGAGCCCAAGTCCTACCTGCCACATCCAAGTCAACGCGGTAGTGCACTAAGTGGGTGTGCATGTTGCCAAGCAGGTGCGTGTGCAAGCGCGTCCCGTGGCGCAGTCCCCCCGCAGTGTAGAAGGTGGCGTGGACGTAGCCGGTGGCATGCATCTTGGCCTCCATCACCCCGTTGGGGTAGAAGATGAAGTCCCAGATGTAGTCATAGTTGTAGACTGTGGACGTTGTCCGTAGCACCAGCACCTGGCCCTGAAGCCCTGCATAGAAGTTGAAGCCACTGCTGAAGTTGGAATTGAAGTGTCGCCTGAGGGGCACTCCTGTGGGCATCTCAAAGACACAGACGGCTCGGGGGTAGCGCACGGGGACATCGGCATCGTAGTAGTGGAGGGCATCTAGGAAAGTGGCGGTGTCCGGGCAGTCGATGCCAGGGGCTAACTCATGAGTGACGCTGCCCAGGCCCCAGCCCACGTCGATGTACTTGGTCTGCATGCCCGCCGGCGTGTGTCCTCCGTACAGCGCCACCGCCTCCTGCACGCTCACCTCGTAGGCTACGCGCTCGCACCCGAAGTGCACGTTCAGGATCTGGAGCCCCGAGGAGGAGCGCAGCCTGTAGGAGAAGCTCCAGCCGCCATAGTGCACCGTGTGGCCCTCCAGCCGGTAGCGGGGACCTTGGGGCTGGACCAGGCGGGGGCCAGTCACGTTGATGGGGGTGGGGAAGTGCCCACGTGGCTTGTAGGAGGAGAAGAGGGGTGGTTCCTCTGTGCTCTCCTCGTCCTTGCCCTTGGGCGATGGGTCCTCCAGAACCACCGCGTCCACCTCTCCATCCTCATACTTCCGGGCCAGCTCTTCTGGGCTCCGGTAGAACTTCCCATTGTACCAGACCTGCTCCACCGTCCAGTCCTGGGCGTTGGTGCTGCCATGATCTATGAGGAGCTCCAGCCCAGTGGGGTGCAAGAAGTAGCCTTCTACAAAGCGCTGCAAGATAAACCAAGAGCGGCGCTGGCCAGAGGCCAAGCCCCGAGGCGCCACATCTGTGAAAGTCAGGCATCTGGAGTGACAATCTTGGAAGGAGAAGCCTGTGGTATCAAGAAAAAATTGGTGCAGGGGCTTCGTGGTCTTCTGCAGGATGTGGCCCAGGAGGGAGTACTCCGCCAAGGTGATGGGCCTGGAGTTCCAGGTGGCCTGGTGCCCAGGCTTGGGGGGCAGCTCTCTCATGTAGTAGGGCCAAGGCAGGGGCCCCACAGCGAACTCGGTGACATTGGGGTGCTCCTGGGCTCCGAAAAAGATGACGGCACGTGCCTCCCGAGCGGGAGGCCTTCCACCTTTATCCAGGAACTTCAGTATGTGTTGCTTCTTGGGCAACAGCATCTCAATGAGGAACACAGAGTTCTTGGCCATGTTTGGGGTTTGGGAAGGCTCCAGCCTCAGCTCCCTACGGGACCAGAGGAAGTTGTGCACCGCCTTCAGCTCCTGGGCACTCAGGTCCTCGAACACCCTGGCCTTGTGGTGCACGGTCCGTGGGGTGCACTTGGCCGTGGCCACTGTCTGCAGCACCAGCATGGCGGCGACTGCCCAGCCAAGGGCCAGGCTCCCTCGCTGCATGGCTCTGGAACAGAGTAGTAGAGATGAACTTAGTTGTTTTATGGGAGGAAGTGAATTTCCCCTAGGCTGGAGCCTTGCACAGCGATGTCCCTTGGCCGATTGGTTTTCCTGCAGACTCAGCTCCCTCCCTTACCCACCTCAGTGGGATTAGATCTCCATGGCAGCTGGGGACCCAACGCTGTTCAGATTTGTGCATCCCATTGACTGTAATTCTGCCCTCTCCTTGCTCGTTTGCAGACCTCTGAGAGTCCTGTGCATTTTCTCACCTAATAAACTCATTTTGCCCTTTTCTGTGTATTTGCTCAGCAGGGCAGAACCTTGGGCTCTTACCTCTCCACCTTGAGTGCTAATTGTGTCATTGGGTATTGACAGCAAAACTACATTTATGATACAATATGATTTTTTTTTATGTAGATACACTTCGAAATTTAGTGTCGAAGTTCAAAGACGCTTAACTGTGATCAGCCTGCCACTACAGCCGCCTCTGGTATTCTTGTCTTTTCCCCTGGCCCTGGTGGGAAGGCCCCGGGGGCTCACAGGACCTTGTGCTGCTGGGGCTGCTGGGTGAATTCAGACCCAACAAAATGACATGGGGTGAGCTTGCGGTCTGCTATTAAATTTGTCAAGTCTCCTTGCTTATTTTAAAAACTAGATTTTACTTTTTAGAGCAGTTCTAGAATCACAGAAATTGAGAGGAAGATGCAGAGATTTCCCGGGTACCTCCTACCCTACTCATATACAGCTTCCCAATGAACATCCTTCTCCAAAGCAGGTCACTTGCTACCATCTATGAACCCACACTGACACGCCATGGTGATCCAAAGTCCGCAGTCGACATTAGGGGTCACTCTTGCTGTTGTACATTCGATGGAGTTTGGCGAGTGCACAATGACACGCATCCATCAGTGTAGTATCGTACACAGCAGCTCTTCTGCCCTAAAAACCCTTTGTGCTCCACCTGTTCGTCCCTCCCCTCCCTCGAACCTGTGGCCACCACTGATTTTTTTTACTGTCTCCATAATTTTGCACAGCTTTCACTTAGGGATATGCATTTAAGTTCCTCCATGACTTTTCTCGGTCAGGCTCCCTTTTTTCTTTTCTTTTTTTAAAGTAATCTCTTATTTCCAGATTTCTTTCTGCTTTGCTAAGGAGTAAGATGCAGAGGAGAACTGTGGTCCTTTTAATCTGAAGTTGGCTGTTCTTTTAGCTTTTACCTTTCCTGGTACAATCTTCTACTCTGACGTCCAAGCGGGCGGCAGGTGAGGTGGACAATGGCAATGAAGCCACATGAGGAGGGAGAATTGGCAGCCAGTGAGAGCCCAGGTGAGGACACATGAAGCATGCTCTCCTTCCCCACTTCTCACCCCCAGCACCCTGCAAACAGCATCCACGCCCTCTCTGTACCTTTCCCATCTCGCCCCCCACAGTTTATGCCTGCAGCTGACGGTGCTGTGCCCCGGAGTCATTCCCTCTGGGTTCGGCTCCTCCACCCCTTGTGTCTGTGTTTCTTCTTCCCCTCTCTCTCCATGCCTTTCTTCCTCTGCTTCCCTCCCCACCCATCACCCCTGCATGCCTCCCCCTGCACCCGCCATCAGAACGCACCTGTGTGTTCGACTGTGGGCTTGCCTCCGCTGCCAGCCTTTGTCTCTGACTCCTTGAACTTTATGGCTCTCTGGACCCCGCCCTCGAGGGAGGGACGGGGTGAGGCATGGGCCGACCAAGGTGAGGACCTGCTGCTCAGGGGTTCCACAGTTGTCATGGACAGCAGCAGGAGGACGTGTACAGGGCTCTGGCTGCCCAAGGGCTCCTGTTACCCCTTTAAGGAAACAAGTCTGGAAACTCCCCAGTCCTTCACCACTTTAGTGACCAAGGTCCACTTCTGTTTCCCAAACATCACCGTGTCCTAGATCTGTCTCCCTATCATTCCTCCTGCAGCAAGGGACCTTCCATAAGACTTGCGTGCTATCTTCTCTATCTTGAGCTGCGCATGCAATGCCATCATCTGTTAAAGTAGGTGGCAAGTTTCAGAGGTCAAAGATAAAGACCAGGGCAAGTTAACTAGTAAGCAGGCTCACCCGAAACAGTTATATGGATAAAGGCAGGGGCTGGTAGAGACAGACACCAACACCAACAATAGAGAATTTGACCCACGTGTAGAATAGGGAACCAGAGACAGAATAGCTTGGGAGGAAGAAGCTACTGAGTTAGTCAGGAGGTCTTACTAGCCATCTCTGTGGGGAAAAGAAGGAGGAGCTGGCTGGGGACAAGGTCATTCAGGATGGCTGGGGAAACTGTGAGTGGGAGAGGGGAGCAACACTCTGGGGCTCAGGTAGATGGTAAGGTAGGTGTGGGCCAAGGAGGGAGCTCCTGGTCAGAGGGAAAGAATAGAATCAGGAATAGTGTGAGGCTTGGAAGGAGAGGTCATTACCCCTCTCATCACCAAGTGTTGCTTTCCTGTTCTTTCATTATTATGTGACTTTTGTATTTCTCGTCTTTATCTTCCTGCTACTTGCATTGCAAGTCATTTTGGTATTTACTGGCAGCTAGATGAAGGAAGCAGAAAGTAATTAGTCAACCATTACTTGTTTGTCATTCCAGAAGGCCTTTGGTGTCTCCAAGAAAAAGGATTAGCTTTAAATGTTAAAATGATTTATATAATGACTTCTCTTACATCCTTTCTTCTTCATGGATCTGAAGGACTGAGAGCTGGTTAGTCTCCATTATGGGCTCACCAGCACCGTGGAGACTTGAGGATGTACAAAAGATCTGAATAGAGTTATGGAAACAACTTGACATTGAGAAGTGCAGTCTGTTTCCATTCTACAAAGGACATCATAACCAGGATAATGGGGTCAGGACAGATCAGGAAAAGATACTTGTAAAGATTAGAAGAGAGAGGCACCACACATAAAAGAATGAAGTTTGACCCTTAGCTCATACCATACACAAAAATTAACTCAAAATGGATCAAAGATGTCATGTAAAAGCCCAAACTATAAAATTCTTAGAAGAAAACATAGGTATAAATCTTCATTATTTGAGTTCTTCTTTAAAAAACTTATTTAATTCATTTATTTTGAGAGACCACAAGAGCAAGCAGGGGTGGGGCAGAGGGAGAGGAAAAGAGAGAATCCCAAGCAGGCTCCATGCTCAGTGTGGAGCCCAGCGTGGGGCTCAGTCGCACCACTGTGAGATCATGATCTGAGCTGAAATCAAGAGTTGCACCCTTGGGGCACCTGGGTGGCTCAGTTGGTTAAGCATCCAACTTCGGCTCAGGTCATGATCTCATGGTTCGTGGGTTCGAGCCCCACGTTGGGCTCTGTGCTGACAGCTAGCTCAGAGCCTGGAGCCTGCTTCAGAGTCTATATCTCCCTCTCTCTCTCTGACCCTACCCTGCTCAGACTGTCTCTCTCTCTTTCTCAGAAATAAATAAAACATTAAAAAAAAAAAAAGAGTTGGATGCTTAACTGACTGAGCCACCCAGGTACCCCAGAGTAAATCTTCCTGAACTTGGGTTAGGAGGGATTCATAGCCATGGCTCAAAAGCACAAACAACCGAAGAAAAAAAACAGACAAAGTGGACCTTGCCAAAATCATACACTTCTGTATTTCAAAGGACACCATCAAGAAAGTGAAGAAGACAACCAGAGAATGTGAGAAACTATTTGCAAATTATATATCTGATAAAGGAGTTGTCTGTAGAATATGTAAAGAACTCTTACAAATCAATAATCAGAAGACAACTCAATGAAGAAAATGGGCACAGGATATGATTATATATTTCTCCAAAGAAGATACACAGATGGCCAAAAAGCACTCAAAAAGATGCTCATACATCATTAGTTTTCAAGGAAATGCAAATCAAAATTGTAGTGAGTTATGACCTCACACCCACCAGGTCGACTGGAATCAAAAATCCAGAAAACAAGTGTTGGTGAGGATGTGGAGAAAGCAGAACGCTCACGCACTGCTGATGAGAATGTAAATGGAACAGCCACTGTGGAGATTGTTAGCACTTCCTCCAACAACTAAACTCAGAGCTACCATCTGATTCAGCAGCTCCACTGCTAGGTAAATACCCAAGGGAAATGAAAACATATGTCCACACAGAAACTTGTAACAGATGTTCATAGCACAGTTACTCATAGCGGCCAAAAGGTGGGAAAAAACCCAGAGGTCCACGGTGTGATGAATGGATAAACAAGGGAATGGTATTTGGCATTAAAAGAGAGTGAAGTCAGGTCAAGATCTCATGTTTTGTGGGTTTGAGCCCCGTGTTGGGCTCTATGCTGACAGTTCGGAGCCTGGAGCCTGCTTTGGATTCTGTGTCTCCCTCTTTCTCTGCCCCTCCCCTGCTCTCTCTCTCTCTCTCTCTCTCCCTCTCAAAAATAAATAAAAACATCAAAAAAAAAAAAAAAGAAGAGTGAAATATTGATACATGCTACAGTATGGATAAGTCTTTAAAAATATTACGTTAAATGAAAGAAGCCAGTAGAGAGGACAGGTAGAGGGGAGAGGTAAAGTGGACAGGTGGAGGGGACGGTGGAGGGGACAGGAAGCACCGAAGGCCTCCCACCTGAGGGATGAGGATGAAGAGTAGTTTTGCCGGCAGGCAGGGAGGTGGGGCGTTCACGCCTGACTCTCCCTTTTTGTCTGAAGGACTACCTAGAGTGCATATTAATAGATAAATCACAGGACAGGGGAGCCCAGAATAAAAGTGACATGAGCCATGCCCGATGGTGAGCTCTGCCAGAGTTTGGAAAGAGATGCCCCTCAGAACTGTAAGACCCCCCCAGGTCTAGGGCTCCATGTCCTCCGCACCATATTCCCAGGGCCGCCGTGGCCAAGCACCGCAAACCGGGGGGACCGAAAACCAGAGAATATATTTTTGCGTATGGTTCCGAAGCCTGAAAATCTGAGCTGAAGGCATTGGCAGGCACGGGCTCCCTCTGATGGCCCTCGGGGAGGTCCCTCCTGGCCGCGTCCAGCTTCTAGTGCTG